GGAGGGGCGTGGGGAGACGTGTGTTTTACGCCCAAACCAATGATGACCTGAGCCTTGCTTGGGATGCGTTATTGGCTGGCGTTGAATTTGGGTTGCAGGGCGTCTATGACTGTGTTGACGGGCCAAAGGCTGCATCGACTTCAGGGCGCGGTGGCCCTCTGCTTGCCCAGGCGGTGCAGTCCAGATGGCGACCTCCATTGGCATGGTTGCAACATGAACCTGGGCTACGGGCCTGGATGGCGGCTCTTCGCTGGATTGTTCAGTGTCGGAGGGTCAAGGGGTATGTCGCGAAGCTGGTTGGCAAGCCCCTAAGGACGGGAACAAAGTTGTGAACGGTCTTGCTGATCATTCTGCGCTGGCTAAAGCGCTGGTGGGATTCATGAGGTTTATGCATGGCGTTCGCGGGTGTGAACGCACGCTCGAGTTGCTTCCTGCATGGGTGTCGGAATTCTTCACGTCTGCTCCTGTGTTTACCATTCTTGCATGTGGTGAATCTGACCAGGTCTATGTCCACATTGAGAAGGCGCATGATAGATTGCTTGCCGCACATGAGAAGGTCGATCGTGCGGACAAGGTTCGTCGACTCTGCCTTTGAGAAGGGCGCCAGTGGAGCGAATCGCTTCACTCGCTTGCAGGCGACCCCGGGGATCATCGAAGCTGGGTCTGAGCAGTCCCCTCATGAGTTGGCAGATCGTGGGATGGGCAAGTGGATGAAGGTGTGGTCAGTTCACGACGACAGTGACATATCTTTGCCGTTTGATAGTGGTGAATGGGATTTGTTGCCGTACAGCACCGCGGACATGATGGTAGATGCCATTTTGACGTTTAGGTGGAAGACGGCAGCAGGGCCTTCGAAGATCCAGCCGAGATCGCTGTGCTTCTTGTCACGGCAAGGTTTGGGTGCGATGGCTTCGTTCACATGAGGTGCGATTATTTGCTTTTATGGCCAGTTGGACGTGACCACTCTGAGGTGGCTCGCATTCCAACGGATGGTGGGGGTGCACGTCTGGTGGCGCTGATTCATACTATTGTGCGAGTGTGGGCCAGAGTTCGGCGCCCCCTTTCACGTCAGTGGCTGAAGCGGTTCCCCTCGGAGATGATTTGGGGCAGCAGAAAAAGGTTATTCTTCCTCGGGGTCTGCGTTTCTCCACGATGCCATGGCGGCAATGTCTAAGCTCCTTGGGGGGCACTCGCCCAAGGTCATGATGGACATGTGGAAGTGTTTCGACACGGTGAAGGTATCCAGTCTCTTTCGTGAAGCCCGTGAAGTTGGTTTCCCTTTGCGTTTGCTGTGGCAGCTGGTCACCTCATATAAGATGCACCTCACCACGTTGCTCACAGTGCTCATGATTCGCACGTTGTTCAGTGTACAGGAGATCTGCCCTACTGTGCACCCTCGTGCGTTGGTCGACGACTGCGCCTTGCAATGGTTTGGCCAGGACCTGGATGGGATGACCGAGTTGGTCAAGGCTACCAGGGTCTTCAAGAGTGGCATGCGACGTCTTGGCTTACTGGTTCAACCTGTGAAGTCAGGTTACGTGGGCACGACTCGTGCGGTGCTCAAGAGGTTTCTCCCATGTGCTAAGCTGTTGAGGCTCACGCAAAGGAACCAGATGCGCAATCTTGGGCATGACATGGTCGGAGGCAAGGTGATTCGCACGGTGGCCAAGGGCCGCTTGGGCAAATTGCAGAAGAGGATGGGTCGAGTCAAGATCCTTCACGCTGCTTGGCGTGTGTTGCAGGATCTTTGGCTTGGGCGTGATCCAGGCTGGCAGGGAGTTCGGGGCCCCATCGCGGCCACGTGGCTATCTCTTCGACGCGTGGGGTGGGACACGGCCAGCAGCACCTCCATCGTCAGTGACGCGGGCATGGTCATTTCTCTGTTGAAAATGCCTCCCAAGGATGTTCGCAAGCTTCTTCGTCTTGGCGTGCAGCGTTGGCAAGGACGGGGGATTCTTGAGCACCAGGCGGAGCATCTGGAAGGTAATGCGACCGTGTGGACGCGAGCCGTCAACCTCACCGTGGGGTGCAAGGCGGCTACGATGCAAAATGCTTAAGTCGCTGGTGCTCTACGGTGCTTGTGGGCTGGTAGCTGCATGTCTGTGCAGAAGCGACACCAACGCGGATGGTTGAGTACGCCTCTCTGCCCGCGTCCTGACTGCCGACAGCGAGGTGCGGTTGGCGACCTTGGTCATCTCTGGTATGCGTGCCCGAATTTGCTTGAACAGAATGATGCTGGCGGCCTGCCAGCCTGGTCTGAGGAGTTGAAAAAAAAAACACGTGATCGGCTGTCTGAGGAATGAGTCGCTGTTTTTGGGCAGGATGGTTTTCACCTGCTCAAATTTTGCACTGGGCTCCCCCAGGCTCCCCCTGAGCTCCCCTCTCCGTCTTCCGAGCCTCCCGCCTTCTTCTGGGGGGACTGGGGGTCGAAGCCTGAGAGCTGGGGTCCCACTGCGTTTTTTGACGAGTCAGGCATGCGCAGCTCTTAGCCTGAATTCCGACGCTGTGGGTGGTCACTGGTGCAGATGGGAGACTTTGGTCTCCCAGTGAGGGCTGCGTATGGCCCTCTGCCAGGACCCATCCAGACGGTCGGCCGACCTGAACGATATGCGCCCTTGCGGGGGCTTCAGTTGCTGCCGCGTTTAGTGCTTTCGGTTTCTGATCTCCTGGGGGCCGTGCGTGAGGGGGTCGAGTTGTCTGAGGAGCATGCCTCTACGTCAGCGGCCCACGCTGACATATGGAGGAAACTATTTAGTGCTGCCCAGGGCCGTGCTAATCCCAAGATGCCCTCATATGCATGGGTGCCTGCCCACCTCACTCTGGATGATTTCCTTGAGCGTGATCAGTGGCCTGTGTCCTGGTGGTTTGGTAACATGTGGGCGGGCTTCTTCGCCGAGGTTGGAGCCAGGTCTCACAAGGTTGCTGACTCGTTTGTCGAGTATTGGGCTGACCAGCTGGCGATTGGTCGGAGCAATGCTAAGTTTTTTTTGGCTGGGCTGCTGCCCAGCATGCCGAGCATAAGGAGGTGTGTGTGTGTGTGTGTTGTGTTGTGTTGTGTTGTGTTGTGTTGTGTTGTGTTGTGTTGTGTTGTGTTGTGTTGGGTTGTGTTGTTGTGTTGTGGTGTGTGTGTGTGTGTGTGTGTGTGTGTGTGTGTGTGTGTGTGTGTGTGTGTGTGTGTGTGTGTGTGTGTGTGTGTGTGTGTGTGTGTGTGTGTGTGTGTGTGTGTGTGTGTGTGTGTGTGTGTGGGTGTGTGGGTGGGTGGGTGGGTGGGGGTGGGTGGGTGGTGGGTGGGTGGGTGGGTGGGTGGGTGGGTGGGTGGGTGGTGGTGGTGGTGGGGGGGGGAGCTGCAGGCCCTTCGCGAGGCGGGCGTTGCGGTCGCTCGCCACCTCGCCTTGCCCCTTCTTCGATTCCAGGAGCACGATTTCTGGCAATCTGGTGAATTCATGGTTTGTCGATCCTGTCTGGCCAGAGCCAAGACGGAGGCTTCTAAAAGGTGGCGCACCCAGGGATCTGGGCGTGAATGTAACCCCTCCCCCCTCGAGCGTGAGCGTGCGCGCCTGGCGTTTTCCAGTGGCGGGCTGTACGCTGCCGCCGTTCCCCTGGCCAGGCCTGAGGCTGTCCAAACCGCGATTTCGGGTGCTTCTCTGTTCCTTGGTCCTGTGGGTTCTGGTGCGGGGCCCTCCTGTGGGTCGGCTGGGCCTGAGGTTGGACTGGCCTCAGTGCCCAGGCCTCGGGAGGGGGGGGGGGGAGGTGTGTCAGTTTGAGTGCTTCACCGCACTTGGCCATGTTATGGAGCAGGTGGGGCCCTACATATTCTGCACGGCCTGTGGCTCCTACTGTGCCCAAAGGCTTGGGCCCGAGCTCAAAGCAATTTGCAAGCCCCCGAGTTCGGGGGTCCTCCCTGTCAGTGCGAGGAGGTCTCTTGCCAACATTCAACCCGAAGACTGGTTCAAAGCTCAAGGGGGTCCCCCCTGATGAGTGATTTTGTTTGGCCGTCCCCCCCGTCGCTGTCGTGTCGCCTCCTCCCCCCGCCGCGTACGTCTTCTATTTCAACGTGTGGATGGCGCTGGAGGTCTAGGCGCCGACGCGCCTCGGGTGCGGTGACGGGGCCGCCTGTCTCATCGAGGCGTCTGCGGGAGGATAGCTGGCGCCTCATGGTTTGTTCCCTTGTTCCCTCCTCCTGCTCCTCCTCCTCCTCCTGCTCCTCCTCCTCCCCCTCCCCCTCCCCCTCCCTCCTCCCTCCTCCCTGCTCCTCCCTACCTCCTACCTCCTCCCTCCTCCTCTTTCATTCCCGCCTTCCTCCTCCGTCCTCCCTCCTCCCTCCTCTTGCCCTGCTCCCTCCCGCCTCCCTCCCTCCCTCTTCCCTCCCTTTCTCCCCCCCCTCGTCCTCCTGCTCCTCCCTCCTGCTCCTCCTCCTCCTCCTCCTCCTGCTCCTCCCCTCCTCCTCCCCCTCCTCCTCCTCCTCCTCCTCCTCCTCCTTTTCCTCTCCTTCCCACAACAAGCAGGCTTCGGCTTTTATTATCCTGTGTCTTGATTTGATACTGTTGGCGGTGCCGTAAGTGGTGGAGTCCCAAACCGTATGCTCCGCCCGCCCGGACAGCAGTGGAAGCAGCGCGCCTCGCGCCAGGCCCTTTGTCGCACACATTCCCTCCTCCTCGATCTATCGATGCGTTGTTACATCATGTGACAAACAAAGACTTCTGGGGCGGAGTGAAGACGGGCCTCTTGAAACTCGCCGTGACATGGGAGGGCTCTGGGCCGCCGTCGCCGCTCCTGTGGGGCCCGCCGACTTGCTGGCTGGCAGACTCGCGCGTCCCGCGTCCTGCGCCCTGAGACTGCGTCCTGGCCCTGCGTCCTGCGTCCTGCGTCGTCGTCCTCCTCCTCCTCCTCCTCCTCCTCCTCCTCCTCCTCCTCCTCCTCCCTCCTCCACCTCCCTCCTCCCTCCTCCTGCTCCTCCTCCTCCCTCCTCCACCTCCGCTCCCGCGCCCCCGCTCGGGCAG